GGGAGATTCTTGAAGAATATTACGATCACTCAAATATTCACAACCGAGTAACTTTGACAAGACGTTGACATGAGTTCACTATGGAAGATGGAGCAAGCATGGCTTCTCATCGCGATAATTTCAACGAATTGGTAGTTGCGATGGAGGGTGTCGGGGATGGTATGAGCACTGATAGGTAGCTTGTGATCTTGCTCGGTAGTCTGCCGAGCATTTATGCGACGATTGTTTCTATCATTGAGAACTCTTAGGAAATTGCAGCTGACGAAGTAAAGTTATGCTCCTAAGAGAGCACGAAAAGGTCGAAAATGCAGAAAATTTGAAAGAAAACGCATCCAAGGTGCGATTTCGTGGTCATGGTGGTCGAAAGAAAAACAAGGTGGCCGTGGTCGCCAAGACCAGCATATTCGACAAGACATGATACAAGGTAACCGTGGACAACTACCATCAGCTAGAGGTTTCACCAGGCGCTGCCATGGCTGCAACAAGATTGATCATAAGAAAGAGGACTGTTCATCAAGTGCACGCAGTAGTGAGGTACCGTTTATGGCAAATATGGATGAAAAATCAGATTGGTTGCTTGATAGTGGCTCATCGTCGCACATGAGCTCTGAGCGAAAGAATTTCCATACTTACAAAGGGTTGAAAGAGAGTATTGGTGTTACAATAGCTGATGGTGGATCACTCCATGCGATTGGTATGGGTGATATTCACCTGCAATGCACTCAAGGTCGCATAGTGAAGATAGTAGACGCTCTCCACATTTCTGGATTAGATCGTCGGCTACTCTCAGTTGCAAATCTTACCCAGAAGGGTCTTACGGTGAGTTTTGGTATGAAAGAGTGTACTATTTTTCGAGGGGAACCTTTGATAGCGACTGTACCACAAACAAACAATTTGTATCGTGTGAAGAATGAAGCACAGACTGTATGTGTGATTGATCGTCAAGAAAGAACAGGTAATTGGAAATCATGGCATGCGAGATTAGGAGAAATAACGACGATTATTATAAATGTTATTCAAGATAATCGTGTTAGAACAAGAATGATGAAGCTTATGCACACTGTTACGTTTAGGATTGAGGCTGTGGGACACACGGCATTCACACACAGTTGCATGAAGGTAGCAGCTACCAATCGCTTAACATTCTTTAGCAACGTGTTGTTTCATGCAAGTAGCAAGAGCTTTTCGACCATTAAAGGCGAGATGGCGCTTAAACAATGGCTACATTCAAACCTTTTCTTCGTGAGCAGCAAGCTGAGATGTTTGGACTTATGAACACACTTTTATGGCCTTTCATGCGCTTGGATGATAAATTTGATAAAGAACAACTTCTAATGTTAGTGGCAATTTAGGAGACAAACATAACCTTCGAGGTATGATTGCTGGTGTGTGAGTTACAGCAGCTGATTTTACTTTGGATTAGAAGCGTTAGGTGATTTCCATGCCCTTAGCTATTATGCAATACTATGGGGACTTAGTGGCCTTGTTCAATCAAGTGGCTGGCCAGCCAATCTTGCAGTAATGGGAAAGTGGTTTAACAAAAATGAACGAGGTGCAGTACTTGGAATCTGGAGTGGAAATGGATATCTTGGTAATATTGTCGGTACAGTTCTTGTCGCTTCAATGTTTGCATTGATCGAGAAAACATTAGCATGGAAAATAGTGCTTGTGGTAGCAGCTGGACTGGTGGGTTTTTATGGATTAATCATCCACTTTTTCTTAGATCCGGCTCCAAAGGATGCGGCATATCACCATGAGCGATTAGAAGACGCCAAACCAGATGTAGCCATTTACAAAGCTCAGATTGAAGATAATCTCGATGTAGAAGATGGAAAAATTGACGGTATTGTATCCCTGGAGTGATTTATTTAAAGCAATCGAAAGTGTTGATATGTGGTTGTCTTTGTCATCAGGTTTTTCCATACGCACTGGCAAATGCTTTTCCCAAGTCAGCTAACTACGCGTTGTTCTTTTGGCTCCCGTTTTATCTTACAGTCTCACATCACATGGACAGCTCACAAATTGGTACTCTTTTGGTGCGTTTCTAGCGTAATTGCCAAGAGAACAAGTATGGTCTCAAATTATATGTAACCATGATTTTATAGATGCTCTAAGAAATTGATCAGATCTTTGGTCGATTTGTCACGAGCAGAATAGGCGTACGTTCTCCTGTCGCACATAGTTTCATTCGGCATCTTGGCTTAAACATGCGGTCTCAGTGAAAAGGTTGGTTTGCTAGGTTAAAACCCTCGCTTATGATTTTCTACGACAGTATCTATGCAAGGAAAATTATCTACTACGTGGTATGCAGGTTGCTAACACAACCGAAGACGGCAAAGTTTGCCGTCTGATTACAATATGAGCTAACGGATGTATCCAGTTGCCACCGTATTCTTTTTAAAGAGACACTGTCCTCATAAGCGGCAGGTCCATTGGATAAATTCAGAAGAAAGCATTTTTTATCAGAAGCAATGTTATTATCCATTGATATATACTAGATCTTAACAAGTTTAATGAGCCTGATCTCATTCGAAAGCCTCTATCCACGGGTAGCGAGCGAAGTAGATATTTTATGCTGAAAAATGTATTACTTTCGAATCTTGAACGATAGTATTGCAGTTCAATTTCTTAGAAATCTTATACATGCACGTGGACCACATTGATGACTGAATTTGTAGTATATCATTGTATCAGTTATCAATTCTCTCATGGAGCGCTTTGTGATGTCGGCACCTGAGCCTCAAGGGCATCGAGTTTATCCAGCAACGGTATCTCCTCTCTCAGCTTCTTCGCCTGATTCACCAACGAGCGTCGAATTAGCGTCAATTCCATTTTCTGCCATCCAAAGCGTTAGCGATCTGGAAGAATTTAGTGATCACAAAACGAACGAGTCCACTGTCGTTCCACCGACCGAATTAGAATCACATGCATCAATAAGCAACAGTGGTGTGCTATCTGAACAGCAATTGATTGCTCGGGGAAAAGTATTATTACAGTCATACCAGATACAAAAGAAGCAGTGGCTAGCAAGTGGAAAAAATGACACTGTCAGTTCCTCCGAAGCTCACGATTCCGACGCGAGCGTAAATATTTTTGAGGTCACAAATACGTCAAAACGAGACTATTGCACCGAAGACCTTTCGTCACCAGTTAAAAGAGCAGTTGCGCACTTAAATTTAACTGAAGCCCCATCAATTGACACGAAATCTCAACTGTCATCTAATACTTTCCTTCCAAGCACCACATTGAGTGATTTGAGTACTTTTAGTATCGGGCCGCTTCCTGCATCAAAATTGATAATGCATGAGCCCCTTTCAAACAACCGGAGCGAAAGATTCTGGATGGATTTTATGGATCTACTGAAGACAAATCGACGTACTATGGAAAAAATGGACGCACAGCTTGCTCGTTTATGGATCGAGTTGATTGCGGTCAATACGAATAAGCGAGGACTGCAGAATGAGACAGACAAAGTGAGTGATGCAGTGACGCAATTATTTCAGCAGAAACGAGAAGCGGAAGTGGCAATTTTGAAACTTGCAGAGGTGCTGGGATCGCGTGTGTTTTTGACTGGGAAATTGTCCGATGAAGCGGTACAGTTTGTGAGTAAACAATTGAGATTAGAGCTTGAGGCTTCAGAAGCTCTGATCGACAAGGTGCAAGCTGTGGAGGGTATTAACAGCAATAGGGACTTAGGAACTAGCGTTACTGGAGAAGTTGAGATGGTTAAAAAGTTAAAACAGCAACTGCAGCACAAAGTTGAGCAGTTCCAAGCGAGTCAAGCAGTAATTGCAAAATTAACAGATCAGTTGGAACGGCAGAAGAATGATGCAGCGACAAGATATGCTGAGTTTAAACGTGCTCTGGAAGTCAAGTTGCGTGAAGTAGACGCTTTGTGCAGTGACATTGATGTACCGGAAGCGTTTGAGCAAATCAAAACATCAGAAGGTATTCTGTACTACAAGAAGAAAGAAAATGATGGCATGTTTGAGCTTGAAGACCCTCGGGTATCTCTCGTTATCCAACAGCGTCAAAATAAAACGAAAGAAAGAGCTTGTATAGCGTTTGAAGAAGTAGAGTCTAGCCGTCCACATCGTAGACGTGGAGTCAGTGCATTAGCGCGCGAATATGCAGCACGAGATAATGCTATTCGTCGTTCAAACTCCACCCCTCACATTTTTAATGACAATCTCGTTATTGAGGATATCCAGATTCCACCTGATGATGGACGAAAGCATACAATTGACGACTTTACGACGCCTTTACCTGCTGGATGGGAAATGCGTGTTACTGCTTCCGGTGCCGTTTTTTTCTTCAACAAATACACAACTGTTACAACCTGGGCCGACCCGCGTTTGCTTAATCCAGCTTCTTCACCATTAGTCGCTGATACTGTGACTCTACAGAAGCCGGTTGCTCTCGACTCGATCGATATGACATCTGAATTACAACCATCGACGTCCAATTCGACTTTTGTCGACATGGATTCTTTTTCGAGACACGAGCAAGATACTGCTAGGTATTTTGATGTCGTGTTTGAAGAATCGGGATCTATCGGCATTCATTTTCAAGCTAATGTGCTTGACGCTGGTGCTGTAGTCAGGAATTTACTCCCCGACATGGCAGCAGCACAAAAGAAAGTGTTGAAACCGTTTGATGAACTCGTGGCTGTGAACAAAACTGCAGTGGATTCCGCCCCGTTTCGGCACATTATGCTACTGCTTCAAGGAGGATTAAGACCCTTGACTCTATCATTTAAGCGAAATATGAATTGCTCGGAGCGCACCTTGCCGCCTTTCACACCAGAAACGATAGCAACGATGAGTGACTGCGGGTCCTCAATCAATGATGTGTCCGAGACGCATTTGGATGAAGAAGTACTAATGGATGAAGGAATTGTCGTTGATCTCGAGCAGCTTCGCGTTCCAGTAACACAATTGCAGACATCTGCAGTACCACCTCGTGAAGATGACATGGGCGTAGCGGATGTCATTATTTCAAATCTCTTTTCTCTTTTTTGGAAGCCTCCGGACCTGACAAGTGCGCTTAACACGGTTTAGAGGATTACAATAGTTAGAATAGTCTCTCTGTATGTTACCATTTCTGTTGTGCTGCAAAAGCGAATTATTATTCTTGTATTAAAACTGAAGATGCAAGATGTTCGGGCGAGCAATCGTAATCTCTCCGATAGTGTGTTCAATCATTGGCCAATCTGGAGAAGCAGTAATTACTTCGACAACTGGTGTACCCTGTGTATTAGCGTAACAGAGCACTGTATCCTCAGACTTTGTGCCAGCAATGGATGGATTCCACGCATATGCTTGATTTAAGCCCGTGACTCGATTAATCGATGGATTTGCCACCCATTCACGGCTTTTGTATGCAGCGCAACCTCCTTGATGATGAAATTGCCACTCGCCCTCGTATCCCATGGCAGCATACGCATCTTGAGCTATTTTGAGCATCTCCCCAGCTTTTACACCAGCAGTGCTCGTATTGGCAATCAGTGCAGCATCCACGTAGGTAGCAGCGTTGTGACGTTTCACAAGATCGTCTGGAATGCCTACATTTGAATTTATCGTGATGTACACTAGTCGAGTGGTGGAAGCAATTAACCCAGCGCGCTGACCGCAAATAACGAGCATTGCCTTGTTTTTTACACGCTTTTTGGTCGGCAATGGATGGCGGATAGTGTCGACACGCTCATCTGCAGCAACGAGCATGACTACGGGTGTGATGGCACGAGCCCACATTTTAGCAGAAAGGTGGGCTGCAATGTCCCATTCTGTCATATTAGGGCGTACAGCACGAGCTACTTCGCCAATAATTTCACCACAGTCCTTCCCGAGCTTCCGAAAAACCTCCATTTCATACAGTGTCAACGTCGATCGGAGCTCAGCAAGACGACCAGCAAGTAGCCCATTAGTAGCGTCAACAACGACTTTGTCACTGTTAGCAAGTTCTAACGCTACGTCGAGATGACTGCGTTGAGCATACCATGGATCTGTTACAAGTGTAACATCTTGTTCAAGTCCTCGCATCTCCTCGTGTACCAATTTATGGCCTTCAATTTCGTTCGTTAATACTATTATACGAGTACTATCCACGTAAATTGACCCTGCGCCACTTTCCGTAGCCATAAAAACGTAATTGCGAGCTCCACTTGTGATCCAAGCAAAATTAGCAACGAGGCTTAGAACAACGGCGTCATGTCCTAACTCTTGCATTAAATGTCGTCTGAAAGTGCACAAAAGAAGAAATTTAGGCTCAACTGTCAGATGTTGATAGTAGCAATATGGTCGTACACTTGGGCAACTTTGTGGATGAAATCTGCCCTACGCTTCGAGATGTCGTGGTCGTACGCATCCATGTACTTTTGGTCATTCATAACGGAGAGGAAGATCTACTTGAGTTATGTTAATAACAAGGCAATTTAACGAATCAGCGGATGGTAGTACAAATTGGACAGATTAGTCATAATATGTATAAAGATTTACCATTAGGAGCAGAATTTAAGTATCGTTTAAACGACAAAAGTGGAGTACATAATAATGTATTGTCCAGTGAATCACTATTATGACTTACTCAACGCATTGGTGGATTGTGTTTACCACACTAATGTGAGACGTTGAGCCACTCCTGCACCACTACAATGTTGGCCCATGTGTTCCGTCCTCGTAGCATCTCGGTCGCCATGTGTCGCCGCTTTGCCAGCATTCATTCATCAACTGCTTTATTTGAATCGGTGCTTCCAACCAACTCATCACTGGATTCGGGGCACAATGAAGAGCCGATAAGCGATCCATACCTTCTCCGGCCTGTGACGTATCCACTTAATAAAATAAAAGTGGTATTACTCGAAAACATTCACCCTCGTGCCAAGGAAGTCTTTGAGCGCGAAGGTTACAAAGTAGAGACACACAAACCCGCAATGTCAGGCGAAGAACTTGCACGAATTGGTGGTGACGCGCATATCTTGGGTATTCGCTCGAAGACACAGCTAGACCCAGACTTTTTTAACACTGTTGGCTGGCATGATCATCGTCTTTGGGCTATCGGATGCTTTTGTATCGGCACTAATCAAGTGGCTTTATCTGCTGCTGCGGCCAAGGGCATTCCTGTCTTCAATGCGCCATTTTCAAACACGCGGTCGGTAGCTGAAAAAACATTAAGTGAGATCATTGCATTGCATCGCAAGCTCTTTTTACGTTCGACTGAATTGCATCAAGGCATTTGGATGAAATCGGCAAGTGGAGCGCATGAAGTGCGTGGTACAACACTTGGAATTGTGGGATACGGACGCATTGGGTCTCAAGTGTCTGTATTAGCTGAATTACTGGGTATGAAGGTAGTATTTTTCGACCCTATTAAGTGTTTGCCACTTGGTAATGCTCGGCAGGTCGATACGCTTGAGGAACTCTTAGGTACAGCCGATGCTGTAACCCTTCACGTACCTGCTACTTCAAGTACCCGAAACATGATTAATCGTGACACAATCGCTCAAATGAAAGATGGTGCTCTTTTGGTCAACAATGCTCGAGGTTCAGTCATTGATATCAACGCTGCTAGAGAAGCAATTGAAAGCGGCAAGATTGCAGGCATGGCTGTTGATGTTTTTCCTAAAGAGCCGGCAAAGAATGGCGAGCCGTTCGAGACACCGTTGCAAGGTCTCCCCAATGTGATTCTAACGCCGCATATTGGTGGCAGTACCGAAGAGGCTCAAGGCAACATTGCCGTCGAAGTTGCGACGAAGTTGGTTCAGTACATTAACGATGGCTCCACTACAACGTCAACAAACACGCCCGAAATTGACATGTTACCGATTCGTACGAACTCTATGCGAATTCTTCACATGCACCAGAATGTACCTGGCGTACTTAGCAAGATCCACTCCGTATTATCCGATTATGGAATTAATGTAACCTCGCAATATCTTCAGTCGGATGCTCGTCATGGTTACATTGCATTAGAAGTGGAAAAGTTCCATGCTAAAGTTGTCACGCGCGAGCTTGAAAAAATCAAGGAGACAATTTTCCTTCGAACGATTATATAAATATGGTCGTGGTTGCGCCAAGCAATTACGTGTCGGTAATGAGGATATTGCTAGGATTTAAGACGACATTAGCGACAGGTGTAATTAATAGACGTTGGCAAATGTCAACAACACGATTTATCAGTGCATTTAAAGAGAAGGGACCTTACTCAATGAATCTTAGGATCACTGGTTAACCATACATCATTAAATGCAACACACGTCTAGTTGGTCAAATTGGCGGGCTAGATCTCCTGATTGGCTTCATTACTATATCAATGGTATCCTACCAAGAAATTTCTGTAACTTTCGTCTGCATATCTCCGAAACCTTCAATTTAATAATCCAAATGGAATTTACGACTTTAAGCTGAAGAATCGTCGCGAATTTTACGAAGACGAGCTAAAGTCGAGCGCACAGTAGCAGCTGACGCCGTGTTAAGTAGGTAAGCACCACCAGCAATGGTCTTGTGGCACGAACGACAGTGCCAGATGCCCGTCACGGTACGCTTGACTGTGTCCTTACCGCAAAAGACGCAGTTGTACTTGGCGTGTTGCGAAATTTCAATCTTCTTGACCACTTTTCGGAGGGATGAACCATAACGCGTGCCATACTTGCCGCAAATGCCAACTTTTTTCGTACGCTTGCCCTGTCATTCCAAATAGCCACAGCAAGAACGTGAGCCAATTGTATATACATTTCAGTTTTAGACATTTTGCTTGCAATGAAAGCTTCTTTCAGGTTTGAATTCTTTCCTGTTAGAATGTTCGATTCACATAAATGAAGAACAAATAGCAAGCAGGCATATGCATCCAACGTAAATTGGTACAGTCAAGTAACTTGGCGGTGAGACCTACCATTTTTGCCTTGACCGATTGATCGGAGAGAAATCGACTTTAGTAAATGAAAAAGCACCTCTCAACGATTGAATGGCTCAAAAGAACTGTCTAACTTTGGACCAATCAGTGAGAGGTCGGTAATATCAAGCCAATCATAAAAGGTATTAGGAGTTTTAAGGTGTCGAACATTAATAGGCATGAAAATTTTAAATGGATTTCGTCGATCTCTAGTGAGCTCTTGCCGTTAACATGGACTTAATGTTATGTTTGGCAATACACGCCTGGTAATATTGGCATTTGGTTTGTGTGCTAGACCGTATGGGTAAAATTGCAATGGTGTTGTAAGAAAAAGGACTTTGGATGCCGCGTGCATAACGAATAATTTTACATAGAGTAATACTCAAAATATACATTTTATTATTCAAACATAAAATCTGCCTTTCTTCTTTGTAGGGTTTTTATCTTTCTTAATACTGGTATTCCGATATTATGAGTATTCACAGTTCCATCGCGCGAACTGTGAGTTGTATCGGTAAGAGATCACAGTCCTTGCCCGTTACAAACATGGCGAATATTGATCATGTCAGCGACACTGTCACCGGTAATGATTCAGTCAACTGGATTCAGGGCAAAGTTTTTCTTCATTGTGGCTTGCCGGAGAGGATCGAGATCCTTGATTGACAGCAGAACTCTGGCGGACCATATTTGAAGGGTTTGGCTCCACGCTCGTAAAATTCTAGCAGGCCATCCACAGATGATAGGTCTGACGTGTTGCATTAATTGAATGGTAGGGGAGAACCTCACACAACTCGTGTATTGACTCTACGAGTCCGCGTAATAAACGTTCAGATGATGTTCTCGTACAATTTACTCAAAGGCGAAACCGAGGGCCTCTCAAAAAGCTATGCGTTAATTGTGCTCTTTCAAATCAAGATTTGCATTTTCATATAATATAAAGTATTCAACAAAGACAAATATACCAGTGTTTTGCTTGTCGATCCAATTCTGTGCACTGCATAGCGTTTTAGTTGAGGCACAAGTGTCTTTTGAATCTCTTATTTCTCATGCCGCTCACCCCTACTAGTCATAAGTTATACATTCCAGTACAATTTTCTGAGCTTGACTCAGGTCGGAGTGGCACCAGTGTGAAGATTAAGTACAACTATTCTCTGGCACACCTGAGGGAGCGACTGCTGAGTTCAAGCGACATGCTTCGTCTCATTAAGCTTACTTTTGATAACGCATTGAATGCCCAACAAATCCAGCAATTTTGTAAACCGCCTTGGCTCTTCCTCGAGGTGGTTCAGGTGCAGGTTGTATACTGACCGACTTACTGATATCAGTCCGGCTCTTAACCGAAGATTTTATCGAGCCGCAAGTTCGCAACGTTATGGCTGAAATACAAGAGATGCAAAAGCTTCAGCCCACGCCAAAGGCATACGAAACAAATTGCATTTGAAATATGCTAAAAAGATTAATGAGGTGCGGTATGCAGAGTCTTTAGTCTTAAATATGACGAGAGAGAATGCAGACTCTACATATGATAGAGTCATTCTCACTACATTGAACCTATCACGGTCGCAGCAAAAAAAATGAGCTATGTATTTATGTAATTTTACGATATGCGAACACATCCCGTGTTCTTGTTAGCTAACTGAAGTTTGATAGCATTTCTGCTTCACGGTAACAACAAATAAATTCTGTGAAAGGCAGATCGAAGTTTAGAATAGTTTTGCTTTTACCGTGGATCGGATCCTACTTTTACCGTTTATATTGCCTTGATCCAGATTCACCTCCGAAAGCGTTTCGAAAAGAAGGCCAGTCTCTACAGCGAACGAGTCTGCACTTCTAGGTAAAGGTCAATGCTTTACAATATCAAAGCTATTTGAAACGAGCTTGAAAAAATATATTTGTTGAAATTCTTCGGCTTTCTTGTAAAGAGACAAGTATACCGATATTTGCCCCTCCGTGTACACACACTTTTCTGGGGAAGGCTTAGGTCAACTGACAGGCCACAACGCAAGTTGCTCGCTTCCCACGGACCGTTGACTTACGTAGAGAAGAGGGAGAGAGGTGAAGTGACATTTAATATTATAGCCAGTAGGCTTTTAACCTTCGTAACCGGAAAGTTACTAACTGAAAGGGGATATACAACTACACTGGGTGAACAATTAATGTGAGACACATCAAGGTGTGATGGCAACACAACATGTGTAATGGGACCTGAACCGATCCTGTGGTGCAGTGGTTCGCCACTCATTTCAGGACCGGGAGGTCCCGGGTT